CACCATGCTTCTTCTAGTGAATCAATAACAATATTAAATAAAAATATACCAAGTGGTATAGTAATTGAATTCTTAAAGGAAGAGTTAACTGAATTGTAAAATGACTTGAAAAGAAAAACATTTAAACAGGAAACTTCAATACTCCACTAACAGAATATGACAAATCAAACAGAAAGACAAAGAAAGATGTTACAGACTTATAATAGAATGCTAGAAATGTAGCCCCCAAACATAGATTCAAGGGAAGATTTATGGGTTTTTCATTCGCTTAGATTTTGGGGGAAGGGGGAAGATGGAAAAAACTTGAGCATTTTTATAACCATATAGAAAAGGGTCAATAGAAAGAGAAGATAAAGAGTAGCTAATTGATGGAGTACGAAGAGGAAAAGGATATGAAAGGTGGTAATAGGATCAAAAACACAAGTCAAAAAGAAGAAAGACACTTCATCTGGGTCACAAGGGAAGAGAAAAAAGAATGAAATCTGAGGTAATGATAGCATGATTAGAGAATAGACTTTTTAGGTGAAGAAAGGAAGATGAGGAAATGTACATTTTCTCTGTGAAGGAGGGAAGGTCAGATGCTGGCTAAGGATGGAAGTTTAGAGAGAATGGATAACATCTAAAACAGTTGCAGGGTAGAATTTAACAGAGTCCCCAAGGGATAAGTAAAAGCACCAAGATAACAGCAACAAGAACCCAAGTAAAACTAGACAGCATGTATCTGCTGTCCACCCAGCACATTTATTTAACTTTCTTAAGCAGGTCCAGGGGTGGGTATAAAAAAAAAATAGTAAAACAGTAACAGAACTCCTCCTATAACTTAAATCCACTTAGATATGCAAATGCCACGTCACTGGGAAGCCCAGGGTCTAAGAAGAAATAAGGACAAAAATGGATTGTTAAACAAAAAGGTGGCTCAATTAGGTCGAAGATGTTGCTGTCATGCCTAGCCTGTGGATTCAATCCCATATTACCAATTAGCTCTGCCACATTCCATGGCTACAGTTTATTTCCCTGATCCTGCCCAGCTAGCTTATACACATGTCTCTCTAATCCCAAGGAGAGATCAAATATAGTGAGATCACTACAAATGATACTCCACCACTAAAAAAATTCCTTGAAAAATATATTCTATTGATAGATGGGTCTCATATGAGCGGCAGTATATGTTATGGAGCAGGCTTTCCTGTACCAGCTTTGCAAATCTTGGAGCACCTAGGGGAAGTGCTGAATACCCAAAGTACACAACATAAATATCTGCTGACTTCTCAATGACTCCATAAGCATGCAAATGTCTGCCTGTGGCATGCACTCTATTAGGCACTAGGAAAAAAAGACCAAAAAGAAAACATCTATATTGATATGTATATATGTATGTGTATGTGGAGAGAGAGACAGAGACATAGAGACAGAGAACGAGAAGGAGGGATAAGCGGGAGGGTGAGCGCTCGCAGCTGGGGCTCAGCAAGTGCTTGATGAAAACAATGGCCTGTGCTCAGTAAAGGGGCCTCTCCTCTCCTCTAGCTGGTTAGATATTATCATGGGTACTGGCAAGATGTGGAAAGGGTTTTCCATCCTGCCTACCAGGCACACTGAATTCCACCATGCTATCTTAGTTCTAGTGCCCATGTACCTGCATGCCTTTCCTTCTGAGCTGAGGAGAGGTTGGGGAGATTTTCTTCCACTTGGCTACCTTCCTACTCTCCTCTCTCTGCCTCTCAGAGAAGTGCTTCTGCTGGCGTTTTGGTGATGCATGCATTCTTCCCTGGACTATCCGGGCAAGGTCAACGATGGACATGTCACTGCTCACCTCCGCAAGTGGGCCTGCCTCCCAATCAGTCTGGGTAGTCGCATCTGACTCAAACATAGGATCTTCGGGCTCGGGGGAGGGCCTAGAATCTGAAGAGATGGGGCTTACAGAATCCAGTCCTGGCTGTCTGGGATGGGTGAGCTTCGTTTGGTTCCTATCCACTAGTCCAAATGGAGACTGGGAGGGCAATCTTGGTCTGTGAGAAGACAGAGACTCAACTTCATCTTTCTTCTTTAGCTGGTGCTTCCTTCTCCTCTGCTGCTGCGTGCTCTCCCCTCTGCAATCATCTCGGGCAGGCTGGGATGCCTGGAGAGAGAGCATCATGGGCTTCTGAAGGACCTTTGCCAGGCGATCAAGACGATCAACCAAGGATAATTCATCTGAGGAGGTGGAAGCAGGTGGCTTCTGTTTCTTCTGTCGCTCCTGAAACCTGTTCCAGAGCTCATTCAAAGTGGTGCTGGGCTCAAGGGTCTGCGGTAGAGAAAAGCGGATCCTCGAGGTTTCTTTCCCACTGCTCATCTTACTACCAATTTTGAGATTCTCTTCAAGCCTCTGCCTGGCCCCTGGCTCTCTGCCACCTCCAACATTCCAGCAGTACCTCTCTATCCTGGTGTAATCCATTTCAGTCTGTAAGGGGGAGAATCTATGCTCATCTTCACAAGCTTCATAAGGTGGACTGAAACATGGGTCTTTGTCTCTTCTGGAATGAGCCAGGAAAGCTCCCCTTCCCCAGGGCTCACGGCAGGAAAAGAAATCATGATCATGTTGATGGTGCACTGGATGGTGAAAGTAAAACTGGGCCGACTTGAACACAGAATGGGTAGTGTTTTCAAGTTTCAACTGATCTTTAGATTCTGGAAAGAAAAGGAGAATAATTAGCTTTGAAAGACTTAAAAAACAAATGTTATTTCCTTCAAAATACCAATCATATTCATCTTCCCCTCTATAGGCATAGAAAAACAGATGTCAAGAGGTGAAGGAGATAACAGACCGTACAGCGTTTCATAAAAGTTATCACTTCCTTCATAATTTAACCTGTCTGTATGAAAATCAACTCTAACCCTGGCCCCAAGTCTGTGGTGACCTCACACCTCTCAGCTCAAAAGCTCTCCCACCCACTAGCTGGGGACCCTGCCGAGTCATCCCAGAGCCTTGGTCTGTTCCTCTCCAAAATGAAGGAATTGGGCTAGATGACTGATGAGAAAAGTTCTGACTTTAAAACTCAATGATTCTCTCACCATTCCCAAAGAAAAAGTGTTAGAAACCAAAAAGATCAATGTGGTGTTCATGGGCAAAATGTGATTTTCTATATGTGAGAATATGTTGCAGCAGCCTGCAGGATCGCAAGAGCTCAGCACTCACGCCCCCTCCGTGCCCGCTGCCCTAGAACCGCTTCAGCCTGTTTCCATCATGCCCTCTCCCCTTCAGCTTCTTCTTAGGTACCGCCTTCCTCCCTTGGCCAGGACTTAGCACAGTGCCTGGCATAGAGCAGGCACTTAATGTTGATTTGACATGGTGCTTTAAGACGTGCTAAGTGCTCTACATACATGACAACCTGGCAAGGTGAGGACTACTACTAGTATTGTGCCCATCTTACAGATGAGGAAACAGCCTCAGAGGTCTTGTACAACACGGGCACACTGCCTCTCAAAATCTTCACGCTTATCATTTTTAATGGCACTGTAGTACTACACCACACAGTCAGGCCAATGCTGATTCTGCCTTTTACCAACTCTTGCACAGCTTGGTTTTTCACATTCTTTGCAATTACAATCATGCTTGACATTTGCGAGTTTCACACGCATGGTTTTGGTTATTCGCAGGTTAGCCATCGATAATTAAAGGGAAATTTTTGGAGATCGCGGCAGAAAACTACAGGTGATGTGCATATGAAAAAACTAAAAAAAGAAATTTGCTAACTCATAAATGCATAAATACTGTATTTTATTCATCTGTTTTATTATTTACTACTATAAGTATACATACATAAATTTGTTATAAATAGTTAAATGTTTCAGCGCACTAAAGAACCACGGGCTACACGTTCTCCTCTTTGTCTCACTACCATCCAGACGCAGTCACAGGATTTTCTCCTCAGTGATCTTTGTATCTTGGGCTTTTCAGAGGAGAAGGAAATCCGTGAAGCAGGTGCTGCAGCTACACCATGGGCTGTGAAAACTCTGCACAGTGTGCAAGATACTAACCTCTCTTGTGTAGAAACTGCCACTTTTTATGTGTGGCGCATTGTTTTATTTGTTTTGTGCGTTAAATAAATGTGATCAGAATTATCAGAATAAAGGTTGGGGTGGGGCCTATGGTCATTTGCAGCTTTTCACACTTGCAAGAGTGCACCCTTAACCCCCTCAAATGTCATGGGATGACTGCATAAATATTATAGACATAATTTTACACACACTTTTTTTCCTTTATGATAGCACTCTTAGTGTACATGCTCAGTAACAGGATTAGCAGGCTAAAGCTGACCCTTGCTGCATATTTAGATTAGACATACACTGACCTGCATTAGAGTCCTCATGTGACATTTTTTCATTGCCTGGAGGAGGTGCCGGCCCCTAGAAGGCTTTGCCTTTCTACCCTTTCTACCACACCCTTTCTACCACACTAGAAAGACTTAAAATACAGGGGGCAGGATCCAACACTGGGTCATATATCTCATCCAAAGACAAAACCATCAAAGTTTAGAAAGTCTCATTCCCAAAAGACTGACTGCTGGAAAATGAATATTTTTGGCCACAGACAGTCAAGAGGCATCTCTCAAGCACTTACTATGTGCCAGGCGCTGTGCTAAGGGCTAGGGATACAACAGAATGAGAAAACCCAGCCTCCATTCTCGAAGAGCTCTCATGCTCATGGAGGAGACCATATCTAAACACATAAATTCATACAAGACATTATGTACAGTAACTCAGAAAATCTGTCTAGTCAGATAAAGAAGGGCTTTCTCTAATGACATCTGTGGACAGGCACCACTACTCTATGAAATCACCTATCTAATTTAAAATACTGAAGCACAGGCCATGCCTTCTCATGCTCCAAATAAGTTTTGTATCCCTATTTATTGTCAGTCATTTTCACCACCATAATTTGTCTAACTAATCATATTTAAAGGTTACCAACATATTCAATCAATCAACTAGAGGCATGAAACATATTCCATTGCTAAGTGTCCTTTATTAGTTGGAAACTAGACTTTTCACAGGGTCATTCATAAACATATTTAAGATGCTATGTTGAGTCATTACATGGAACCACCAGTGTTAGTCCAAATGTGGCATGTTGAGGCATTTATTTTCATGCCAGCCTCTGCCACAGACCACATAATCCTTTTTGCAGTCTTTTCCCATGCATATGGAAGGTTAAATTGCATCAAAACCTAGTTTCCAAAGGTACAGTACTCTTTTCTCAGGTTTCAGATCCTGAGGAGTCGCACTGAAATCCGATCAAATGAAATCTACTGCTGGGCCGGCGAAGCAAGGAGCCCAGGACCCTGACAAGCCACTGCCACGCAGAACAGACGCAGGTACAGCCATATCTCATCTAATCCTCCCGAGTGCATCCCAGCATCACATCGATTATCCGTACAACTGAAATCCATAAGGCAATTTTATTTCATCTAGATTTATTGAAGATTCTGATTTCTGAAACTCACACAGCCAACTGCTGCTCAACCGTAAAGGCCGTCAGATAGCATTGCACTTGTAATAAAGGATTTAATGGAGTACCTCAGGAGTATCATGGAAAATCTCAAGGGTTTTATACAAAACCATACATTGAAAAAACTGGACTTCTGCTCTCATCAGAGTACTGACTGGGCACGGCGGTGCTGGTCCCCAGTCTACCCACAGACTCCTAACCATGCAGTTTGACCTGCATCTCTGACATCACTGGAGGGCCTCCTATGGAGACAGCCCCTTGACCAGGGCAGATCAGAGTCTGACAGAGTCGTCTGGGGCACTGGGAGATGAAGTGACTCGTCCAAGGGCATTAACTGGGCGAGCTTGCACTCTGGTCCCTTGGACTCTGCGGCTTCCCCACCATCTAGTACTTGTCCAAGAGGGGCATTAATTAATTTAAACGCAAAACAGAATTGAAAACAGGAGAGTCCAAAGGCAAAAAAGCTGTAAAGCACGCACCTGAGACATCTTCTTGGGGGGGGTTTCGTTCTTCAGTCCAGGCTGCCTTGCGCACGGTCTTCTTGCTATAGATGCCTTCTTTGTGCTTGATGGTTACGATATCGGACATGTTCTCATCCCTTGTGCCCAGGGCGTCAGGGGGGAAATCTGGAGCAATGGCATCATTGGAGCCTGTGGAAGGCAAAGGAACCCGGGGGACACAGTGAGAGACAAGACCTGCAAAGACCTCACTGGCTTTCAGAGGCAACATCCTGAAACATGAGTCACAGCACATCATAAAAAGAAAGGAGAACCGGGCAGCTAGGTGGTGCAGTGAATAGAGCACTGGCCTTGGAGTCAGGAGGACCTGAGTTCAAATCCAGCCTCAGACACTTAACACGTACTAGCTGTGTGACCTGGGGCAAGTCACTAAACCCCAATCATCTCACAAAAAAAAAAAAAAGTAGAACATGAAAAAAGCAAGGAAAAAATAAAGCCAAGTGCTAGTTAATTTTCTTCTAAGATGTAGTTCCATACTCCAATATTTCTAACCAAGAGAATCCCCAAGAGCCATAAGAAGCAAGGGGAAGGTGAGCAAAAAAATGAGAAGCAAAATGAGGAAGTGATTCCCTACACAATCTGAGAACCTACCATCTCAGCACAACAAGAAAGGAACCAGATACATACTAATTAAAATGACAGTGAGAAAAGCTGGGAAATACTCCTACCCACTGTAAATAAAGCCTTGAGGTAAGGACTCACATTCTCACAGCCCATGTGAGATGGCCGACCCAGCAACTTCCTTTTCAAGTTTTGGCTGTGGTCCTTTTATAGCTTTCCCTTTTTAAAAAAACAAATCCTGAATTTAATGAACAAAACAAAAGAGAAGAAAAAGAGGAAACAGGAGCAGTTATGAGTATCTGATTCAATACTACTTGATTTTCTTTTAAAGCACAGAAATCCAACCCACTGCTTGAGTCTGGTCCTGCTCCCAGGGCTATCCTTCTGGATTCCTTCCCACATTTCTGACATGTCTTCACAGCCCTCCTCCTCTCTTTTCTTTCCTCTTCTCCATCATCACATTTTACCCCTCTTCAACTTTTTCCAACCACCCACCATCTAGAAACGAGAAAGAAATCATCACCACCACCACCACCACCGACCTCGTAACAAAGAAGCAGAGCCACACTGAACAAATCCATCCAGGCCACACCCCAAAAGTGCACATCCCCCTTCCAGAGAGGGGTGGGCAGCGTGTTGCTGTCTTCATCCTCTCGACTCAGCTCTGTTTGTCATCAGTCCTCCACTTCCTCGAACTCTCTCAAAGTGTCTCTTTCCCTCGTTTTTTAAAGCATCCTCCTCTTTCACCCTATTCACAGACCACAATGCATTCAGCTTTCCCCAAATGATAAGTACCCATTAGCTTCCAGTTCTTTCCTTCTCTTTTGATCCCTCGTCATCCTCACTTCAGGACTAGGAAGTCTGCACAGTAACATCCTTCCTCCTCAGCAATGCCTGCCTGATGTCCACCTGTCTTCTTGGTGGCTATAATGTATCTCTACACTGTCTACTTCAGAGGAGAATGACCTTCATTAGATGCTTCCCCCACTCCTCCACGTTGGTAAACTGTTCATCTCAAAGACACCAATTATGAGAAAAGTTCAACTACCTTCTTCTTCCTTCCCACACTAGAGCATTCCTTTTACCATCCTTTTTCCTTCTCCTCTTAAAACCCTCAAAACAGAACCAATTCACATCCAGTTCTCCGCTTTTCTTACTTAACTCCCTCAATATTCTTTGAGGACCTGAGGGTCTGAAAGAACGTGTGACTCTCTAAACCAGTATTTGTGATCTCTGAGTCACTAATTTATTTGAACTATTCTGGTTTACAGGGAGTTCTTTACTTGGGTAATGCTTACCATCTTCTGTTCTAAGATACTGATTCTAATTCACTCCTCCATTTTTTTCTCTTGTTTCATTTATTCTATGTATTCAGGAAGTCTTTTTTTCCTTTCAGTCTCTGCTTACAGTTGGTAAAGTTATTTCTTATTCTGGGGTGAGTTCTGGAGCATATCTCTATCTACAATAATTCTTTACATTAAATAGTTTTGCTGTTGTTCAGTCATTTACCTTGGCAGTACACTTTCCAGAGATGTACACATAGAATACTCAAAACTTCTCCATTTGCTATAAATAACATAATTTGCTATAACTGGTTCCACATATGGATGGTGTGGTGCTGGCTGGTGAACACCTGTGTTTTCTTAGTGTTAACTGTTAGGCCGAAATTAGCACAAGAAGCAGAGAATCGGTTTCTACTTTGCTGCATCTCAGCTTCAGAGGCTGCATTGAGTGCACAATCATCTGCAAACAGAAAATAATGCACCAACACTTTCTCCACTTTGGTCTTGGCTTGTAGCCTTTTCAAGGTGAAGAATTTACCATCAGCATGGTAGCTGACCTTGATGCCATGTTCATCCTCATTGAAAGCATTTGACAACATGGCTGAAAATATCACGCTAAAAAGCCTGGGACAAGCACACAGCCTTGCTTCATTCCACTGGTGACTGGGAAAACGCAAGAGCATAGTCCATTACCCAGAAGCCAGGCAAGTAAGCCATCATGGAATTGACTTACAACACTGATGAACTTCCCTGGGCAACCAAATTTTGACGTAATTTTCCTCAAGCCCTCATGACTGACAGTATCAGAGGCCTTGGTCAGATCAATGAATGTTGTGTACAGACCTCTGTTCAGCTCCTGGCATTGCTCATGGAGTTGTTGGGCAGCAAACACCATATCAATCATTCCTCAGCCCTTTCTGAAGCCACATTGACTCTTAGGTAGATGACCATCTTCCAGATGAAGGATCAATCTACTAAGGACTCTGGCAAGAATCTTGCCAGCAATGACTAAGAGAGAGATCCTCCCGTGATTGTCACAGGACAATTTATTTTCTTTGTTTACAGAAATGGATAATGAAGGCATCCTTGAACTCATGGGGGATAACCTCTTGCCATAAAACCCAGAAAATTGCAGTCAGCTTCTGAATAGTCAGGAGACCTCCTGTCTTTTAAATCTCAACTGGAATACAATCAGCACCTGGTGCTTTGCCACATGAAAGGAGCCTAATGGCACTCAAAACCTCTTCGTCAGCCGGAACTTTGGCTAGAGAGGGGTTGACTTCTAACTGAGGTAAACAGTCAATGGTTTCTGCACTGATTGATGACGGTCTGTTGGGAACACTATTGAAATGTTCATCCCATCTCTTCAAGATAAGTACCTATCATTAATCAATATGGTTCCATCAGCACTGAGTAGATGAGATGCACCATAGGTCTTTGGCTCATAAATAGCTTTCGGGGCAGCATAAAAACACTTTGGATTGTTACTAAAACTAAATTTCATTTCCCTTCTTACTAAGCCAAGAATCCTGCATTTCTGTAAGCATCACTTTCACTTTACTTTTGATGGGGTTAAATGTTGCTTTCTGCGGGACAGATAAACCATTCTACTGGTAAACCCCTGTGGAATTTTTGTTTTTCATTTAGCAGCTTCTGTATCTCCCCATCTTTTTTGTCAAGCCAATCTTGATATTTGCAAGTGTTCTGACCCAAATGAGCAAATACAGTGCTGTACACCAAATACCTGAAAGCTGCCTACTCCTTCTCTGCTCCACTGTTGCCAACTGTATGTTCATTCAACTTTCTCTCCAAGTTAGCAATCTGCTGACATTAAGTCTTCTGGTAGTCATTTTGCCGGGAGGCCACCACTTTGGTTAAATGAGAATACTTATCTTGGAAAGGGTAAGTCTATGATCAGTCCAGCATTCTGCTCCACACCTTTGTCACTCTCACATCCTGTCTCTTCTTACAATCATGTAGTCTATTAAATGCCAATGTTTGATGCAAGGGTACATCCACGAAATTTTGTTGCGTTTAGGTAAATGGAAGACAGTGTTGGTGATGAAAAGGTCATGAGACACACAAGTTAGTAGTCTGTGCCTACTGCAGCACTGAAGTCACCCAGAATTATAAATAAGCCTGTCCTCTTTTGGTACATTGATGATGAGGGTCTCCAGGTCTTCATAAAATTATTCTTTGACCTCATCAGGGTTCAACATGGCGGGAGCATAGGCACTGATGATGGTGGTGTGCTTTTCTGAAAGTGGTAATCGCACTGTCATGGGCCTATCATTCACTCCTTTTGGGAGACATACAAGCCTGTTGACTAGACTAGTTTTGATTGCAAAACCAACACCAGCTTCACCAGCAGTCCCCTTCACTGCAGCCACTCCAGAAAAACAGGTATCCGGCTCCAACTTCAGTAAGCTGGCCTTCATTTGCCAGCCTTGTTTCACTCAGGGCTGCTATTTGGATATGATACCTCCCGAGCTCTCTCCCAACAAGAGCTGTTCAGCTTTCAGGTCTATTGGATTTTTTATTTTCTTCAAGTGCACACACATTTCATGTACCAATGACAAATGGAATCACCTTTGCAGAAGTTTTTGCACTTTTTTTGTGTTTTCTTCATAGGATGGGATCCCTGCCTGCTGCAGTAATCAGACCAGGCTTAGGTAAGCAGACAATTTTTAGGGCACTTTTTCTAGCCCCTTCTTCACACCAGGAGGTAAGCAGTGAGATCCTTAAAGGGCTGTTCAGACACCCAGGAGGCTGCCAAATCCCACTGGGGCTTCCAGGGAGAAGATGACCCTACGACCTGGGCCACCTGTGTGAAGGGTCGTGACTATAGGTCCCTATGTATCTGCACCTGCTACTTCATCACTTGCCTGTCGCCATGGGACTTTGAGGTAGGCTAAAAAAAGGAAAAACAGTGTAGATGACATCTTTTGATTCACACATAAATTGGATTAAGGGAGGCAAGAATTGGGTGAAGTTATCAGCCTTGCTCTCTCTCTCAGGGTCATTAGAGTCCAGTAAAAGCAAGACAAAGTCAAGAAGACAACTGGTGATGGCTCAGTATACAGTGGATGATCTTAGTGTCTTCGAGGTCTAACCAAGCTCTAAGCACTCCACAGCACTCCACAGCACCTGCTTTTGCTGCCTTCATGGCTGTTGGAACAAACAGTTCTTCTACACCCATTTTGTCAAGAAAAGTGTTCACATGCTTGGGGTAGATGTCACCCTAACTCACCAATGGGTTTTGAGTCCCATAGGTTACCCTCAACCTGGTTCAGCCCATCTGCTGAGACAGTTTACCAGGGTGTGGCCATCACATATGCTACAGTTTCTCAGAGCCACAGATGAAAGTTAGGTGGATCAGGTGGACGCCAAAGGTGGAAAGCAGCCCTAAAAAGGGATCGGCAGCCCTCACACCAGAGGTCTTTCCTAAATAAAAGTACTTTATCTAATGCTTTGCTAAATCCACATAAACTTTATCTTGAACATTCCCCAAATCCACTCATTCAGCATTCATGCCAAACAAGGAAATAAGGTTGGTCTCACAGGACCTCAACTTGATGAAGCCAGCCATACTAGTCCTTTATAATCACTGCCTCATTGTCTCAACATTCACTACCCAACTGTTCCTTAATTGATAGGTTCTATAATTATGTCAGGAATTGAAGTCAAGCACACTGGCATGCAAACTGTGTGTGTGTGTGTGTGTGTGTGTGTGTGTGTGTGTGTGTGTG